ACACAGGTAACCAGAATATTGCCTGAAAATAATCATTAGTTGGGTATCTTGTCTTCTAGCTCACATTTGTTGCCATTCACTATTTTTACTTCAAAATGCTTGATTCTTAAAACAGAATTGAGATTCCTCATAAAATTAAAAATAGATCCAGCCATCCCACTTCTGGGTATTTATCCGAAGAAAATAAAACACTAAATCGAAATTATATATTCATCCCTATGTTCATTGCAGAATTACAAGTAATAGCCAGGATATGAAAGCAACCTAGATGTCCATCAGTAGATGAATGGATAAAGAAGATGTGTGTGTGTGTGTGTATGTACACGCATATGTGTGCATTATTGGAATATTACACAGCAATAAAAAAGAATGAAATCTTTTCATCTGTGACAATATCGATGTATATAAAGGGCATTATGCTAAGTGAAATAAGTCAGACAGAGAAAGACAGATACTGTATGATTTCACTTACATGTGGAATCTCAAAAAACAAATGAATAAACAAAACAAATAAATCCATTAATATAGAAACAAACTGATGGTTGCCAAAAGGGAGGGGTTGGGGGAATGAGAATAAAAAAATTTTTTTTAAATGCTTGCTTCTTCCAATCACCAAGTAGTCATATGAGTTTGGACAACAACATACACACTCAAAAATATGTCTAATTATGTTGTTGTAGCTTTATTTGATACTGTTGGTAGACATTTTATGTGGAGTAATGAGAGTTTGAATGCTTGATGTTTGCTGTAGGCATTTTCGAAGAGTTCTCTTAAAGTCACTTCAAAAGGATCTGCATGAGGAAATGAACTACATCACTGCAATAATTGAAGAACAGCCCAAAAACTATCAAGTTTGGTAAGATGAAAATAGAGAGGAAACATGTCATTATGCTATTAGTACCTGCCAGTGGATGATGAGAAGATAGGGAATTATTTCTTTGTTTCTTTATAGTTTTAGTACTTTGCATTGGAGCTAATGTTACCTGTCTTATAGAGGTGTTAGGAAAATTAAATGGGATTTTATGTTAAGTGCTTAAAGTGGTGCCTGACCCATAATTAATACGTGTTTGCTACTATGATTATTTAAAATTTTGTCATTAGCATGTAATACTGCTAGAGTCAGAAAATAATTTGAGTAAAAAATCTGAAAAAATGTTTTCTGTTCAGTATGTTATAAATGGACTTTTTGGTGTTTGATCTTTTATTCATTTATTCAAAATTTTTATATTGATGCTGGATATACAAAGATGAACCAGACAAGTCTAAAAGAGAAAGCAAATAATAAAACTAATTTACAGTGTAGTGTGAAAAGCATAATGATAGAGTTTTTCATAGAGTATATTCGTTCTAGAAAGTAAACTCCTAAGTTAACATAGACAAGAGTATGGATAATTCCACAATGGGAAAAAAATGAGAGAAGTTCTGGAGTAAGAGGACATAAAAATAAAGTTTCAACAGTACCCAGGATATAGTTAGCACCCCGTGAATGGGAGCTAACTGTGGCTGCTGTTACTGTGGTGGAGGAGAAGGAGGAGGAGCTTGTGGTTGTAGTGTCATGGTGCTGGTGGTTGTGGTGGTGACAGAGGACAAGGAGATGGTGTTGGTGGTGCAGGAAGTGGAAGCAGCAATGCGGCGTACCATCAAAAGCTGTCTCCACTTTCTATGCCACTGCCTGCCTGCTCGTAATGCAGGAGTTACCTCCATTTTATTTTTTTCCAATATAATGACCAACACACATACCACCCTATCTTTATACTTTAGATTTAAGGCTGATTTCTGAGAGGAAAGACCTTTGAGGCAAAATATTCTGGGGACAGGCATGAAAGAAAGAACATGATGCACTCAGGGAATTGCATATAATTTCATGTGATTAAAGTATATTTGGAGAGTCATGGGATATGATCATAAAGGGCCTTATGAACATTGATAAGGGATGTGGACTTGACCTTAGTATCAGTGGAAAGCTATTGACATTTTAATTAAGGAAGTAACATGATTAGATTTGTGTCTTGCAAGGTTTATCCTGCAGGTAGGGTGCTGCCGAAATGGAATAGTTTCACAGTCCTGGTAGGCTACAGGCTAAGAGACAGTGTGGTGGGGATATGGGAAAGATAAGGATGAATTTGAGAGAGGTTTTGGAGTCAGAAGCAACAGGCTTTGAAGTTTAATTGATTGGAGGAATGATAGCGAAGAATGATGTCTGTACATTTGGCTTGACCACTGGGTGAATGGTGGTGCCAACCACTTGAGGAACTTGGGAGACAAAGCAGCACCATTCTGGGAAAGAAGTATGGATTCAGTATTGGACAAATGGAGTTTGATGTGTTTATGGAAAACCTATGTAAAGCTGTCCAGTACGTGGTTGAAAAATGCTCTTCTGGAGTTGAAGTCATAGCTGTGGATGAGGATGCTCAGGGAGAATTAGACAGAATACCGGTGAGCATCATTATTAAGAGTCAGAGAAGTGTTCCAGGATGACCAAGGAAGGAAACAAAAAGTTAGCGTTGCCACAGCAACCAAGAGAAGAGAGAGTTTGAAGGAGTGGATGACAATATCAATTACTTTTGAAAGGTCAAAGAAAGTAGGGAGTAAAAGATGACCAGTGGGTTTGTTAATTAGGTGGATGTTACTGAGTGATCTTGGCATGAGCAGTCCTCCCACCACAGGTAGGGTAGGTGACTGGGTGGGTAGGAGTGAAATGGTAGGAAGAAGAAAGTGGGTTGAATCATACATGGGAGATGAGGCTAGACTGTTGGAGAAAAGAAGACATAGCATGTAGCTAGTCAGGGGTATGTTTTTGTTTTGCTTTGTTTTTCCACAGTGGAAAACTTCTCTTTTGATAAACTTTCAACTTGTCTTAGCTACTTCCCAGAGTAGAACTGAATTCAATTCTGCCCATGAACTAGTGGAACAAGCAGTTGTTTGTATGGTGACACTTTGGGCTTAAGGAAAACTAACAACCTATTTATAACCAGAGGAGCTTCTGATATTTGATAAAATGATACTACATTTTCTATAGTCTCACTATGCCATCTGGGAATGTTTCAGAATTCTTGGACAGAATTTTGTGGTTGTCAAAAGATTACTCTACTTCAGATTTAGCTTGAGATAAACCTTTAAGTCCTAAACTATTTGATTTCATTTTACACCCAAATCACTGTTTTATGTTTTTCAACTTCCTTAGTGTTCTGAAATTTTTTCTCTTAGTGTTTCTTTTGTGTTAACTTTTCTCTCCAGTAGAGTTTTGAGAATTAGAGATGAAGTTTTGTTTCTTAAGTGTCCATCCACATCACCTAGCACAGTATATGCAGCTTTAATGCTCGGATAAATTAACACAAAACTTCTTTTTCCCTTCTTCTCCTGGCTTTAGGCATCATAGGCGAGTATTAGTGGAATGGCTAAAAGATCCATCTCAAGAGCTTGAGTTTATTGCTGATATTCTTAATCAGGATGCAAAGAATTATCATGCCTGGCAACATCGACAGTGGGTTATTCAGGTATTGCCCTTCTTACAGTGCTTTTTTAGATTTTTATTATTTAACTGAATTAAATAATTGAAATACCATTAAATTGTAAGTATACTTCTAAACCGAAACATACATATAGATCATTACACACGATATGTATAGTTATTAAGATACCTACTTAAAACCTGACATCATGTTACTTAACCTTTATAATCTCTTGAGCTATGTTGGTGAGTAGCTTCATATTAAGGAAGAATAATAGTAACTTAATATTTTTTTAGATCAAATTTGCATCATTTGCTAGCAAATGAATAGAAAAAGTAGTTGTAATTTTTTAATACGGCTGTGTTATTTTAATTAACAAGGGCATTGTACACACTAAGGTTTTTGCATACGTAATCTTTGGAATTTCATTTTATAGTGACTATTATATATTTTATTTCTACCCAGTGGTTAAAATTTTAATCTAAATCCCGAAAGGAAGAGAATAGTTATAATTCCCACTCTGGACATTTTATTTATTCTAGCAAACAATTCTAGTGTTGTTTCCTGTGAATTTTTCCCAATGATTGCTACTTTATGCACTATTCATTATACCAAGAATATTTCACCGAAATTTTTTTTACTTAAAATTTTAAACTTTTCTAAATTTAAGGGATATGTTTTCTAAAGGTAGTCAATATTTTTATATTTTATGAAATTCTACTTTTTTGCTATTATCAAATAAGAAATATAACTTCATTAGCTTTTTCATAGTTAATGTCCCTAACTTTTGTAGCATTTGTAAGTTTTGATCATTGTACTGTTTTTTCAAATTTTCTTTATTGCTTCTCTTCGCCCCATAATTTTTTTAAACAGCTTATAATGTAAAAAATTTATGTCTAAATCTATTTGTGTGCATTTTTCTACATGTATTTTAATGTAATTTTTTTCATAATGTGTGCATTTTGAATATTTCCCTTTTATTTAATGTTACGTAATATCAAATCACATCAAATTAATATACTACGTTAATCATTTTCTTATTATTGAGTTGTTTTTTTCCCTCTAAATTTTCACCATAAATAATATATAAAAATTTAGTTAGATATACTCTTTTTGCTTTTGATTTTGTTCTTTAGAATAATTCTTGAGTCAAATAGTATAAACATGCCTCTTGGTATCTAAATTGTTCTCAAGAAGATGGTACTGAATTGTAGCCCACTTTGGCTGTTCTCTCTTTCTAATTTTTTTCCTTCCTCATGACCATTCCTTTGTCTTTGATTACTTTTCTTTTCCCCTGCATTTTCTTGACCTACAACTATCACTTGCCTCCAAATATGTGCCGAGTCCCACATCTTCAGTTCAACCTACTTAGCTTTGCTGAATTTTGATTTATTTATTTTTATTATTTATAAATAATGGGACATTTCTAATTGGATATTTTATTATTTATTTTTTCCAGGAATTTAAACTTTGGGATAATGAGCTGCAGTATGTAGACCAACTTCTTAAAGAGGATGTGAGAAATAACTCTGTCTGGAACCAAAGATACTTTGTAATTTCTAACACCACTGGCTACAATGATCGTGCTATATTGGAGAGAGAAGTCCAGTTAGTAATCTCTTTTACTTGTTCACTCATTAAAAGAGTATTTGTGTGCCTACTATATCTTAGGCCTTGGGAATACAGCAATCAAGACTGCTCCCAATCCTACCCTCATGGAATTAGTAGGACAGAATACTTAGGTGCAATCTGTAATGATAAATTTACAAATAATGTACCTCTGCTTTGTAGTGTCTTAACTTTTTTGAAATATTGTTGCTACGACAGATTGAGAAGAAATCAGACTTTATAGTGTCTAGGAAGCTTTATTTCCAAACTATCTCATTAAATTCCATTGCATTTTAGATAATAGTCCCCGGATGCCATTTTACTCTAGTGCAGGGTTTGGGGCCAGATAAGTCTTGTTTTAGGGGGACTGTCTTGTGCATTGTAGGATGTTTAGCAGCATTCCTGGCCTTTATGCCCTGTATAGACTGTCCCTCACTTAATGATGGTTCAACTTAAGATTTTTTGACTTTAAGATGTTCTAAAAGTGATAAACATTCAGTAGAAACTTGCTAGGCTAAGCTATGTTCTATAGATTGGGTGTATTAAATGCATTTTTGAATTAACAATATTTTTAGCTTATGATGGGTTTATCAGGAGATAACCCCATTGTAAGTCAGGGAGCATCTGTATATTAGTAGTAACTCCCTCTCCCCAGTTGTGAGTTGTGACAAAAAATGTCCCCAGACATTGCCAAATGTCATGGGGCGGGGGTGGTGGGGGGGCAGTAATCATCTCCAGTTAAAACTACTTATCTAGCATACATAAAGCTGTTATAAGAGCTAGAAATTTCTGACTTGGCATGAATTTCTATGGTATATCCATAAAGATTAATAGCCACTCTTTTCTGACTTTGTCTATTTTGTCTCTGTTTTAAATTTGAACATGTTTATTGTTTTTATAGCCTCATGAGACCATAGTCATAATTTTAATTACAAAAGTTATTTTAACAGCTCTTGGGAAAAGCTGATTTTTTATGGTGCATCTGCTTCATCTCCCTTGCCTTACTGCTACTTGGATCAGAGCCACAGGCTCTTTTATCTGTTCTATATAGGGGTCTGCTGATTTCAGTTTTTTAAAAATGTCTACAATCCAGTGTCCTGCAGTAACTGTCTGTTCTGGGCTTCTCCCTGGAGCAGCCACATATTCCTCCAGCATACCTTACGCTTTTTCTATTGCTCTACTCTCCAAAGCTGTACTGTCCAATATGATTGTCACTAGCCACACATGGCTGCTTAAATTCAAATTAATTAAAACTACATAAAATTAAAAATTAAATTCCTCAGTTGCACTAGTCACATTTTAGGGGTTCAGTAACCCTATCTGTCTAGCAACAACCATATTGGATAGCACAGATAAAGAACATTTCCATCATCATTGGAAGTTCTGTTGAATAGTGTTGATGTAAAGAATAACAGTGGACATATTGAAATAATTTTGTTATTCTTAATCATACCTAAATACTGGGGCAAAATTCAGACTCATCATCTAGCACTCTATTAATTTTTTCTTTTAGAGTTGGTATTCTGTTATGAGGAGTAGAAAAATAGCGCTCTGAAGGAAAGCAAAGCATCATCCTTTAGAAAGTTCAATAGCTTTCTTGCCAAAAGGTAGAATGCTTCAGGTTATTTTACACTGAATTAATCCAATTAATAATTAGGAATTTCAAAATATTATGTATTCCTTATTTACTATAGCTTACTCCTTTAGGAGTAATACAACATTTAAAAATTGAATGTGAAAAGTTTGGAAAATGCAAACTTTTCTCATAGCCTTCAAAAGCAGACCACTAACTTTTTATTACCAAGTGGAAACAAATAATCAGGTAGGAATCTAAGAGTCTTCCATACTTAAGGTTTATTTTACCCTTCAGATATGTAAAAGAAATATTTAAAATGCTAAGAGTAGCTGTAGTTATCTAGAATTTAGTTTATTAATTAAATTTTTTAACTCTTAAGAATACAGATAGATATAGCCAATTATTTTCTGTAGTTTTTCTCCTTTTCATTATAAAAATAATGCAGTCTAGCTATGGGGGGAGTTGTACTGAATTGTATAAAATCTTGAAATCTTATTCTCTCTCTTCTTATATCCCATTCTTAGAGTGAACTACACGTAGTATGAATCTTTCCAAGCTTTGCAAACATGCACAACAACCTAGTCAGTCATATTATACACATTCTTTTTTAATTTAATGTATCATGGCCATTTTTCCATTTGAGTACATAATCTAGTACTATTATAGTTATCGTTTATCAAGCTTTTACTATATGCCAGGAATTCATATTTAATTCTCATAGCTACACTATGAGATACCTGATGGAGAACTTGAGGTTCAGAGTAGTTCTATAATGTGCGTAAGAGCACATAGATAATAACTGATGGGGCTAGGATTGATGCCAGGCAGTCTGACATCAAAGTCCATGTTTTAACCATTAAAATGGATAATGTTTTAGTGCATATGTGTAAATAAAATTTTTTAGGTATTGCCAAAATGAAATTAAGAATCTTCTACAAGGACTAGTTAAGACCTATAGGGACATGGTTTAACAAATAACTAAAACATTAGGTCATGTAAAAGTAGTTGGAGAAAACCTTTTGATAATGCTGAATGAGTATATTACTACTCTGTGGGAAAAAAAGGTATTATATCAAGACTGCAACAAAACGAAAATTACTAAACTTTAGTCAATGACTTACTCATTTGAGCAAGTATATAGTGAAGACCCTTCTGTAACTTTTCTTGGGATGTGTTGTAATTGGATCTAAATTGTATTTAATCTGGTTGAGGGGAAGAGAAAGGCAGGGAGTGTCCATTTTGACTGGGAGTCACATAACAGTTTACTCATAATCTTGTTTTGGAATATAAAGAATATACATTTGTGTTGGTTTATTTTTACTCTTTGTCTATATAATTTCCATGCAGTATATTTTTTATGATAGCTCCTAGGATTATATAGTTCTCCTTTTTCAATGACTAAGGATTTGTCAGGCATAAGTAGATCTTAGACTTTTTCTCCAAGACTGCTTTACCAATAGAAGGAAAATCTTGTTTTATGTGATATTTCTTTCAGCGAGAAAGCCTAAAAAGGGAATTCTCACATTAACTTACAGTCTGTTGTGAATTGAGCCTTCTTCATTTTAATTAAGTGTCCTTCACCAGAAATGGATACAGATATACAGTAGGGAGAAACTGTGTAAATAAGAATTGATAACTGGAGGGATTCACCTAGAGAGGTACCGAAGCCCATTAAGAGAGAGAAGTGAAAGCATATATCCAAGCTGTGCTACGGTCTTATTCAAACTGTTTCTGATTGCACTGCTTTTAAAATTATACACATATTTATTTGTGGTCTTTTTCTTACAGGTACACTCTAGAAATGATCAAACTAGTACCACATAATGAAAGTGCATGGAACTATTTGAAAGGGTAAGAGATTGTTTTTGCTTGTTTTATATATAAAACCTGTTAATATAATGCAGCATGGAGTACGTTCCATAATGGAATTCTAAAAGTATACTAAAGAATTGTCCATTTTTTTCTAAGAACAGAAGTGTAACTGTTAGAGTAACACCCAAGAACAGTGCCCTCTACCCTTCTCTTCACCTTCCAAGCACATACCAGCAGTTTTTAGAATAGTCCATGAGTAAACAATAATACAATTATAATTGTATTTATGAATCCTGCAGTCTTTATGTCAAAGAAAATATACACAGTTTCTGTTCAGCTCAGGAACACAGTAAAGGCAAGGCAGGACTATTTATAAGTAGGTTGCACAGATGCATAGCTAGCCTTTCTGTTTTTACTTCTAGAGATCTGTTACAAAGCTCACTACTTAAATTGACAAGGTTTCATTTGCCTGGCCACTGATATAACCAGGCTCTTTGATGGACTTAGAGGTCTCCAAGGAAACTAGGCTCAAAGAGCATGAAGTACAGAGCCCAGTCACATTGGGAGATATGTCCAGGGAAGGGGCCTATAATATCTGGAGAGCTAAAAGGACAAGGAACCATCTCAAAAAGAAACAAATACCTCTTATTTTTTTCTTTTTTAATTTTAAGAAGACGGTTTATTTTTTTGCTTTAATTTTGTGTGTTGCAGTTAGAGTTGAAAATGATCACTTTTAAACTTCACTAGTCTTTTAAACTAATTTTACTCAGCTCTTAATTATCCATGATAAAGCACACATATAATTTAAATTTTTCATTTTATTTTCAACCTCGTTCATTCAAAATAAGTCTTTTCTTGCTTATGTTACAGGGACCATTTTCTCTTGATCTTTCTACTATTTTTGTTCTCAAAATTTAGAATAATTTTTTTTTAGGATTTTGCAGGATCGTGGTCTTTCCAAATATCCCAATCTGTTAAATCAATTACTTGATTTACAACCAAGTCACAGTTCCCCCTACCTGATTGCCTTTCTCGTGGATATCTATGAAGATATGCTAGAAAACCAATGTGACAACAAGGAGGACATTCTCAATAAAGCATTAGAGGTAAGCCAGTGGAACTCAGTGTGTTTCTTTTTGATATCTCAAAGTTGGCCCAAGGCCACTAATATTTATGCCCCTTTTCAACATGGTTACTCAGAATCCAATGCAGGGCTATTTCTGCTGTTTCGGGCAATAACCACGTCACTAGTGAACATAGTATGTGACTCCAGTAGTATATGTCATTTGAACATGATCTGAATTAAACTGTATTAGCTCAAAAGCATTTGTCCAAGAGACTGAATTACACATTTTCTTTAATGACTTTTTGTTTTTCATTTTCAGTTATGTGAAATTCTAGCTAAAGAAAAGGACACTATAAGAAAGGAATATTGGAGATATATTGGAAGATCCCTTCAAAGCAAACACAGCACAGAAAGTGACCCACCAACAAATGTACAGCAATAACACCATCCAGAAGAACTTGATGGAGTGCTTTTATTTTTTTAAGAGACTCTAATGCAGTAGTTTAAAACTAGAGCGGTCGTTCTCTTTGCCTGTGGTGTAAAACATGCATTGCACAGGTATTGCTTTTTAACAAGAACTAAATGTGATGTTCCTTGGGTGCTGCTGCTGTTCAGATTAGCTCTAAGTAATTTGATCTTTTAAAGCAAAGTAATTTGGGGGGAGGGAAAAGAAACAAAGTCTTAAAAAGGAACTTTTGTAATCTTATCAACATTTACTGTAATTCTTTAGCATCAACTCCTCCCTAAAGGGTATATGCGTCAGGATTTGCAGCATTAACGATTGCAGGAACTTCTATGTAATGGATATGAGGTAACTTAAATTTCAGTTTAGGAAACAGGGAATGCAATTGTTACATTAGAGCTGCTATGCCACTCTCATAGTATTGCTATTACTGTAACCAACTAATGCCAAAAGAATGGTTTTGTAATAAAATTAGAGATGTATCCTAAAACAATGTCATAGTAGTTTGATTTTTTTAATAGGATTTAACTATATATGAGAGACATCGTCTCGGCTTAGAAAGGCAATTGAGGAAGAAAATATTGCTATAAAACTGTAGAAACCAGAAACATGATTATGTTAAAGGAAATGTTATTAAAATGAATCTGCCAGTTCTTGACTACATGTAACAGAATCCACTAAAGGTACTTTAAACCCACAGGGTTTTTTAAGGTATGTACATAGTTCACAAATTAATTGCCTGCTCTTTCAGAAATACATCCCAAAGCCACACTACAGAACTAGACCATCAAGTTGCTCTTGCCAGTGCTGGGATTAGGAAATTGCTGAATGAGGCTCCAAGACCGTCCACCTGTGCCACATTTCATGGGAGCACACCTGCTTCCAACTAATGCAGCTCCAAATTAAAGGCTCACTGTAGTACATGTGATTGGAAAAAACCTAAATGACATTTAAACTTAACTGTAAAGGAATCTGGAAAATGTAGTTTATAGCTTTTCAGCCTCTACAATTCAGGAAACATGTTAGGAAGGAGCTGAAGTATTAAGCTAATTCTCTACCTGCACATTATGTCACTTGAACAATAAAGAATTTTTGTTCAATGTTAAAGCACCAAACTACAACTAAAGAAATTATATAGAGTAGAATAGTCATATATTCTCAAGAATTCAGAAAATAACTATAGTATATCATGGAAAAAATATATTAACATTTTACATGTTGGTTTTTATTGTTTTTAGACTCCAGAAATCTGATATTTTATGTGAAATTGTCAAAGTATCACCCCTATGTAGACAATTTCAAAGGTGTTGTACAAAGTATAGAGAAGTTCTCATAAGATAGCATTTACTCTCAGAAACTCATCAGTGTCAAAATTGATTGAATTCAGGGCTGCCGAATGTCAACAAAGCTCATAGAGGCTATTTAATAAAAAGCCTAATGGCAGTTTACTATTTTACACTGAGAAATGTAACTGAAGCAGACCAAACAGTTACATCAGCCTAGCCACTTGACATTTTCTGCCTGAAGTTTAACAAGGTGCCAATTCATTTATCAAAAGATTGTTTACTGAGCATGTAATCAGGTGAGGAGTCTCCATGATTTAAATGTGTAATGATTTTAGGCTCTGATACTCCTAATGAAGGCCATCTTCTAATAAGCAACTGGATATATAGACCTGGCAGTGTCCTGCTTTCATTGGACCAACAGTTAAAATGTAGTCTGTGGAGCAATCTGCTAGTTCAAAATTATTTTGCCTAATAGCAGTATCACTGTTGCTAATTGTACAGCTGGTGCAAAAACAATTGTGGGAAAACTGCTTGTGTCTTAGCACAAATCAAGGCAGTGATTTGTATTCTGCATTGCCATGCATTCACTAAAGAATATCCTTGATGAATCAATAATGATATTCACAATACTAGAACTGTCTTTTCAATATTTTGTGTGACTGAATGAAAGTATGTATAAAGCATATCTTTCCGGTTGTCTTAAAAAGCATCTGTCCAATGTGTAAGCCGTAGGCTGAACAGGCTGCTTTTTATTGAATGCCAGTTTTACTAGAACAAACAACTGTTAAACTGTAGTTATTCATACTTGGAGGCTGGCATACATTTTCTCAAAAATCAAGGAAAACAACTAAGCATTTTGCCAATGATAAAATTTGAGCTTTCTAGTGAAAAGTTTAATCTACCATGGTGAGCATAACAGCTTTCTAATTAAATCAAAGTGATGATATTAATAAATACCATTTATATTTTATATAATTAAATAAGTCAACAATTGGGATATCTACATAACTCAACAAGACAATATTTTCCAAATTACTCATCTATGATATTAACATGTATGGATAAACAATCCATTCAAATTACAAGATGTAATAGTACAAAAAGTGTAGTGATAAGGTTGCAGATTCCACATTACAACTAACCTTTGGGAAACTACTACTTGTCAAATTTTGGTGTAGTCTTGAAGAATATCCACAACTTCTGAAAAGACTATTAAAATAGTCCAACTATATATATATCCATGTGTATGAGTCTAGATTTTCTAATTATACTCAACCAAAACATCATATTGCAGCAGATTGAATGTAGAAGTAGGTGTGAGAATCTAGATATCTTCTATTAAGTCAGACTAAATAGATTTGCAAAACTGTGAAATGCCATTTTTCTGTTTTTTAATTTGGAAAACTCATAGATGATATTTTTGTTAACATATTAATGAGTTAATAAAGTTAAAAAAATTTTAAATATGGTAAATAGCAACAGATACTACCCACATAAAGGAAAGCTGGAGTTAGAAAAGAGTAAGACACCACCATCACTGCCCACGGGAACCTCAATTTTGAAAGAGACCAATAGTATGCTACTCATCTCAGTACCTTAAAAATGTTTACTGGCTTTTTGAAGAAATACAGAAGCAGAAGGGATTATCTGCCTGATGGAGTCAGGAAGGGTTCACAATGGACAAATTTGATTACTTACATCTTTTTGTGAGGGTTTAAACTCAGTCATTATTGGTTATATCCCAAATATTAACATAAACGAACACAAGGTCCAGAACATTTCCCTCTGGAGTTTGTTATTTAAAAACTCCATGTTTTTTAAACTGGGTTTTAACCCACTAGTGGGCAATTACACCAAGTCAGTGGATCTCAACCAGCTTTTAAAAAATTATAATGGAAAATTTTAATCTCATTGAATTCTACTCTCATATTTTATTATTTCTTTCCTTCTACTTGATTTGATTTAGTATTTTTACAGCATTACTGAGGTATAATTGACAAATAGTTATTATGTAAATTTAAGTTATACCATATGATTAGACATATATATATAACGAAATGACTACCACATTAAGGTTAGTTAATACATCCATAACCTCACATAGTTCACTTTTGTGTGTGTATGTGTGTGTGGTGGGAATATTTAAGATCTACTCTCAGCAAATTTCAAGTATACAGTACATTCTCTAGTTTTTATTATTTTTTAAATTAATTAAGTTATTTTTAGGCGAGGCAACCCTTGGTTGACCTCACGGATTGCAAGGACCTTGTCAGCTTACAATCCCTTATTTTTTATTTTTTTGTGCCTACAGCACCTGGTCTTCCTAGGTGGTCTCCCACCCAAGTACTAATCAGGCCTGACCCTGCTTAGCTTCCAAGATCAGACGGGATCCGCCTTGTTCAGGGTATTCTCTAGTTTTTAAAGAGGGATCGTAGATGATTGATTCATGACCTATCTTTCCCAATATATATTTTAGTGCTGTACATTTCCCTCTAAGAACTGCTTTAGCTGCATCTCAGATATTTTGATATTTTGTATTTTGATTTTCATTCAGTTTGAAATATTTTCTAATTTCCCTTCTTGAGATGTCATCTTGACCCATGGATTACTTAGAAGTGTATTGTAATTGCCAAGTGCTTGGAGATTTTCTTGTTTGTCCTGTTATTTATTTTATTTTTAGTGGTTACTCTATGAATTATATAATACACACTTAACTTTTTACAGTCTATTTAGAATCATATTTTAACTCTTCAGTTGACATGTAGAAACTACCATCATATAGGTGTCCTCACCCTCCACCATTTATGCTATAGGTATCATACTTACATTGAAAACCCTGCTTACATGGAAGACTCCATCAAACGATTTTAGACTTTTTTGCATTTAACTACAAAACGTATTTTTTAAAGAACTCAAGAAAAGACGAGTAGTCTTATTTATACCAGATACTTAACATTTCTGTTACTTTTCTTTCATTCCTGATGTTCCAAATTTTCTTCTGGTATCATTTCCCTTTTGCCTGAAGAAATTTCTTTCAGCAATTCTTTCAGAGTAGGTCTGCTGGTTGCAAATTCTCCTAGTTTTCGTTCATCTGAAAATGGCTTTATTTAACCTTCATACCTGAAGGATATTTTCATGGGTATAGAATCCTGGGTTTACAATTCTTTCAGCACTTGAAAAATGTTTGCCACTTCCTCCTGCCTTCATGATTACAGATGAGAAATCTACTGTCACGAGAATAGTTGTTCACTGATAGGTTTTGCATCATTTTTCTCTAGCTGCTCTCAAAATTTTTAGTTTGTCTTTAGTTTTCAACAATTTGATTTTGATGTGCCTGGCCATGGATATCTTTGGATTTATCCCATTTGCTCAGCTACTTGAATCCTTAGGCTTATATTTTTCACCAAACTTGGGACATTTTCAGCCATTATTTCATCAAATATATTTTCAGCACTTTATCTTCTCTTGTGGGACACTGATAACAAGAATGTTAGACATTTTGTTCTTGTCGCAAAGGTGCCTGAGGTTCTGTTCATTTTTTAATTCTATCTCTTCCTGTTGGTCAGATTGGGTCATTTTTATTAATCTGTCTTTAAGTTCACTGACGCTTTCCTCTATCTTCTCCCTTCTGATATTGGATCCATTCAGAGTTTTTTGTTTTGGTTATTTTTCAGTTCTAAAAATGTTTGATTCTTCTTAATTTCTTCTATTTTTTTACTGATAATTTCTATTTTAACTTTTGTTTCTGAAGTGCTCATAATTGAGCTTTCTTTTTCTTTTTTTAAATTTTTTTGAATTAAGTTTATTGGGATAACATTGGTTAATACAATTATAGAATTTTCAGGTGTACATTATAATTTAACATCTGTATATTCTATTGTGTGTTTACCACCCAAAGTCCAGTTTCCTTCAGCTACCATATATTTGATCCCCTTTACCTACTTCTCCCTCCCTCTAAACCCTATATTTGACTTCCTTTACCCCATCTTCCTCCCCGCTCCTCCCCCAACCCCTACCCTCTGGTAACCATTAGTCTGTAGTCCATGTCCATGAGTCTCTGTTTGTTTGTCCTGTTCCTTTGTTGCTTTTAGGTTTATATCCCACATATAAGTGAAATTGAGCATTTTTATAATAATTGTTTTTATACCCTTGTCAGATAATCCCAACATCTGCATCATCTTGTCATTGGTGACTGTCAATGGTCTTTTCCTATGTGTGTTGAGATTCTAGGGATACTTTATATGCCTAATAATTTGGTGCTGTATCCTGGGAATTTTTAATATCATGAGACTATGATTCTTGTTTAAACCTTACGGAGAATGTCAATATTTTTATCTTAGCAAGTGCTTGCCATAGCTAAGTATAGGCTGCAATTTCCAACCCTCCTTCTGTGGGCTATGTTCCAAAGTTAGTTCACTTTTCAAATTCTTGTAGTGCTATTTGATTTGTCTCATATGAGCATCACCTGTACTTAGTCTGGGACCTTAGCAGAAGTATATCCATTAGCACCATTTTCAAAGTCTTTGGCATGCCAATTAGCATCAGATTTATGATTGTAGGTCAGGGGTGAGCCCAAGAGCTCATAAACAACTTTATGGGGTTGCTTTCCTGATCCTCTCCCCTTCCATTTTCTTTCCAGTACTTTCTAGTTGCCCAGAGCTCCTCATTTCAGTCCTCTAGCCAGAAACCTCCTAGTTCCGATGAGGAACTGCCCACTTCCACAATTAGGCCACAACAGTGGGAAGACAGATAGAAAAAAGAAGCAATGGAGTCCGCCTCTAACCTCTTGGAGTTGCAGCTTCACTGAATGGAAAAGATTATTCTCCCTCAGTTTGGGCTCCTACAGCCTCTCATTGCCAGCCACTTTTACTCTTGCCACTGCTCCTGCCACAGGATTGATTGGAGGCTGAAGTGCAAGGGAATGAAATAAGAAAAGAGGAAGAAAAAACCCAGAATTTTCTCTATTCTGAATTTTAGGAGTTCCCTTTTCTGCTCTATGACCCCAAACCGGAAAGTTTCTCTAGTGTGTCTGTCTGTTCCCCAGTGCTTAATTCTGGGTTTGGGGCTGGAAGATACCAGAGAAAGAAACAATATCATGATCAGTCACGGTACTTCAATGTCAGGGGTTCTTCTCTGATCCATCTGGTGGTCCTCACTTTTCAGAGACCCCAAATAGCTAAGCCATGAGTTCTGTTCAGATTTTCTAGTTGTGTCCAGTGGGAAAGGAAAGTTGGCATGTGTTGACTCCATCTTACTAGGAATCAGCCCTTCCTGTCCTTGGAATTTCTCCATTATTGGTTTTCACAGCTTCTTTGTTCTTTACAAACACTTCCTCTAGTCCTGAAATCACAGTTTCCAAGAGTTTAGATTTGGCTCTCTCCTTTTCTTTATACATTCTCTCTTGTAGAGATTATCCTTTTCCAGAGCATCATAGAATCCTTGGGGGGAAGATTAATTCCTATGAAAAGGGAAATCTTTATTACTGCCCACTCACCAGAGATGTAAATTTCTGCTGGTTATTAACTTGGACTACCACCCCATTTCAAACTCAAAATGTCTTCTCCCTACTCTACCTGCTCTGTTAATGATGCTATTGTTCTTCCACCCGAAACCCACCTAAAACCCTTGTACTGTCAGTTTGTGCTAGAACATGCTTGTGTTCTGACATCACTGTGCTATGCAAAATCATTAATAAAAGCCAGGGTAAAAGTAGAGCTAGGGACACAATACTCAAAAAATTAATCAGTTAAAAAAAAAAAAAAAGACAAGAACTTGATAAAACGGCAGCACAGTTTTACACATTATGCCTGTTTACCTTGAAAAGGACCTGAAGCTTGTTTGTGGAAGTGGACATTGGAAGGGTTGAAGCTTGTGAGTTATTGTGAAGTGATAGGGGGAGGGGTATCTGAAATCATTCGGAAAGTTGTAATACCAGATGTGGATGAATGTGGTTCAAACATACATGATGAACTGAAGGTGCTGGTAGATGTTGTGGGGTGTGCATGTGTGTATGTGTTGTTCACTCCTATGCAGTGTGGCTCCGTTGGTGCAATTTTCTGCAGTCACCTAGTGTTTCTCCAGGATGAAATCACACATAAACAGATGATAAATTTGTGTTCTGCTCAGATGATTTCCTAATACATCATTCATTTTGAAACAAATCTGCTTTTTAAAAATGTATTATAGCAGAACTGACCACACTTAACTTTATTCATTTTTTCCTCAATTTCTTCTGTCTTATCAGTTAACTCTTGATTATTTTTCTCTTCAAAGTTCTCATGTCAAAGTTTCTCATATCTTACCCATTTCCTTTTACATTCTTTTAAAAAATTATTATTATTTAATAGGCTTGTTTCAAGATCCTCCTAAATAGTCTCCCTCTAATGCACATCAAAAACTGATACCAGGCTCATCTTTCATATATATACACATATATGGAGTAACACATTTTAATTACATAAACATTAAGAAATACATTTAAGCAAAGAGGGAAAATTTTAAATGCCCCAAAATCTATTCTATAAATAATGGTTATCACTGATAAAATAGAATTTTTTATATAGTGGTTATATTTTTTTAAATGGGATTACTTTCCCACCCTTAGTCATGTGTTATGAACATCTTTTCAGGTCAATACATATAGATCTATAACATCTTTTTTTTTAATTGTGAAATATACATAGCATAATATTTATCATTTTAGTAAATTCAGTTATTTCTGCATGGGAAATTCCTAGAAAAGGGATTTGCTAAGGTCCTTTATACACAAGAGTAATTGGTACAGGTTATACAAATTTATACTCATGTATGGTGCATAGAAACGTTTAGATTCTGTACATCAACAGTGGGCATTACCATTCTTTTTGTTATTTATTGATCTGATTGGCAAGTAACTTATAGTTATTTTTAATTTTCACTGTTTGAATTACCAGTACAGGCTTGGCTTTATAAGGCACGGCGTGTTATTCTTTTGATTTCCTACTTAGAAAATGTGTCAGTGTAGAAGTAGAAAATACTTCAGATTTAAACAAACAAAATATTATCTAATCCTAGGCTGGATTTTCAATGTTGCAACCTTTACCGCCTCATCTTCCACCAGGTACAAACACCTGTGTGAAATGTCGAGCCCTTTTCCAGACAGTGCTCCTCCTTTGGGGCGTTTCCTGCTCTGGGCTAAGGCCCCGAGCCTCCCTTCCATCAGTGGTTCTCAACCTTCAGGGCATCAG